CCCCCCCCCCTCGCACAGCTGGTATTTCATCCTTGGGAACCACCAGTGGTGGCTTTCCTATGTGACAACCCCAGCAGCCTATCCCCACTCAAGGCGTCTCCCCCAGCTAGGTGGGGAAGGTGCTGGGCCCCGCCCATTATCCTTGCGATCGAGAAATCCAGTCGGTAGCTTGCAAACTCTTAGGGGACATCTGCACGGCAGCTGGGCACTGGGATTCCCGGCGCAGGTAGGTGCACGCTAGCTTTGCTCGAGGGCTCACGCTAGAAGTAGCCGGGTGGCTCACGGCAGCCCAGCCAGTCGCTCAGGGCACACACCGAGTACGTCCCCAGGACCCCCAGCGGGGTCATATCGGGAGGCCAGCCCCAGCAGCTGCGGCCACACGGCAGTTTCCAGTGCGCTAACTTGAGCGGCGCTAGCGCCCGTACATCCTCCCGAGCGGGGATTCGCACCCGCAGCGTAGGCGTTCCCTCCGTGACCGTGAGAAACCAACGCTGCTTCCTCCACCTCGTCGAGTTTCGCTAACGGTCACGGAGGCGAGGGGCAGGGAGGGCACGGACAGGATCCAGACACAGTGGTTCCCCCACCCAGCTTTGCTAATGGGATCCTGACCTGCACATACCCGCCCCTCCAGCCCCGCAAATGCACTTCAGTCCTGTAGCAGTCCCTTCTGCCTGACAGCTGTTACTGCTCCTCTCCCACAGTCTGGTGGGGTGGCCGCTATTGATTTGTCTGTGACATGCTCGGTTACCCTTGTCCTTAATGCTCTGACAGTGTGTCATGGGGAGACTGCAGGCTCGGGGACAGATCCTCAGCAGCCCTCACTCCAGTCTTTTACGCCAGGGAAAGGCTGCCCCCTGGTGACGAGCTAGCCTCATGCAACTAAGCCTTCCCCGTCTGAAGATCTGGGCACCGCCACCAGAGAGGCCACTGGCACCCTGCATTAGAGGGCAAAGCCACCAGAGCGAGCTGAAACACTGCGGCACCGATGCCAGGTTCTGCTCAGGAGGGGCCGAGGCATGTAATAGCAAGGAGGGGGTGCCGCTAACTGGCCCCTGCTCACCCTGCAGCAGCAGGCCTGAGTGGAAGTCGCTCGGTAACTCACCCATGCTGCCAGCCAAGTAGGAGCCCAAGGCGAGCGAGTAGTTTTCCCTTTCGCTCAGCATCTTGAAGCTGCTGTACTTGGCAAACGTGCTGGACTCATTGAAGTCCCTGGCATCAATCCGCAGCTGGTAGGTCCCTGAGGCCGAAAGGACAGCAAGGCATCAAAGTCCCAGCATTGCTGGAGAGAGCGGCCGTGGCCCGAGACCAACGCCTTTTCCTCCCACGCCGCGGGAGCAGGAGCTACATTCACTGTGGGAAGATGCAGTCCCCCTGAGGGTTGGGGCAGCCTGGGGACACAAGGATGGGAAACCCCGGAGGAAATGGAGGTGGGAGTCTCCCCTGGGCCGGTGCCTGTACAGGAGGGGCTAGGGGCTGTGATGCCATGGTGGGGAACTAAGCCCAGGAAGCACCTGATGTCTGAAAGGGGTCTGGATTTTCCTGATCACACCAGCTCTGAGCCGTCTCCTTTTGGAGCTCTGTTGGGGGTTAACCCTTTCTAGGAACCCTCCCCAGCATGCTTTGC